ACCGTTCGTAGTTTTCAGCGTGTTTGATGCAAATCAAAGATGGCGGAACATAAAATGTAAGCGCGATTTCTATTGGTTTGAATCGGAGGCTTGATCGGCCTACAACCAATCAGATCGTTTGTTACAGTCCCACGTTCGGCGCATTTCGCGATCATTCGGCAAGCTTGAATTATGACTCGTATGCCCAGGTCGATGAGTGATGCCATTTGTTGATCAAACGTGCAAGAAAACGCAATTTTGAAACAATTCTGGAGTTACTATCGATATTTATTATATATTTGGTCTTACAATCATCCTAAATAATGGAACGTTGTTTTTTTTTTAAATATAAATTTATGGTCGGTCACAAGGATTGATGGTTTTTCACAGCTCTAGGCCCTTTACACCCACTGTCGGCGTGAGGCCGACGGACCGGCGTTAATTTCGAACACTGAGTAGCATTGTCAACCATCTTTACTGGAGTGCAGCATCTACTCCCAGTGGCAAAGAAGCACTAATAGTAGAGAAGTGGAAATCAGTGGTGAACCACATTCAGGATGTACACACTGGTCATGGAACCCTTTTTCCAAATTGCACACATGGATCACTAGAAGGAACCGGCAGAAGGGAGTGGTTAAAACCAAGTAAGTTCCCATTCCCTGCATAATGCATATAAAGACAAAGCAATACCAGAACAACATACCAAACATTTTGTTTATTCTTTGTTTCAATATTATTTTACCTCCCTAAGATACAAAGGCCAGTGTGAAGTTAGAGGCAATAATAACCAATGCATCATTATGTAAAGATGTGGGGAAATTATCAACAAGGTACCAGACATACAACCTGGAAGGGTTTCACAGTTTAATTAATTAGTTTGCCCCCAAGATGATAGCTTATTCTTATCATGGAATGAACTCTAGGTATGTAACTTATTATTTACAAAATAATAGTACTTGTTGAAAAACTGGTAAAGACTAATTTCCCAGGATACACCTTTAATTGATCGACTACCGTATATGTATTATTTGCAAAAAAAACAGGTTGTTGTTGGCAGCATTACACTACAATGAAAATAGTGACAAACGACAGGCTGTCACAAAGACTGGTGAAAAAATGTTCAGCATCAAATACCCCAAATACAAGTGTGGAGACTACATTGTAAGGAAAGTAAATACAGAAAATGTAAGGTGCAATAATCATAGTATCGTATTTGTTCTGTTAGTAGTGCATGTGCTTATTCTCGAAATGAGTAATATTTTAATGTTTCAGTATACAACATTGTAATGCAATTTTCTGTTTATACATGCTTCTACTGGAAATGTACTTCAATAGAGCATGTATGATATGATTCTTTATGGTTTTCTATCTCCTATTGTTGAATCAAAATGCTCTCATTATAATTTACAGATTACGTAGAAGAGCTCTTCATACACTAGACTTGTATGTTGGAGGAGATTGTGTATTACATACACTTAATGATGCACCCCTGCCACTCAACAGCCAGTATGCCCACCCTGACAAAGCCTCGGCAGTCCATCGCCACACTACAAGATTCACCTAACAGTGTAAATACATTTCCAGATGCTGCAACAATTATGCTAATAAAAAACACGGCTACGTTACACAGTTCACAAATTTTATTTAGACTTGTGATGAACAAAGAAATATGACAATGTAAACATTGGATTGTCTGTACATGTATATGAGGAAAATAATGTGAATAAAATATAATTTGTACATGGATTACTGTTACTATAGTATATGGTTTTAATTGAGTGAAACTGTGTGACAATGAAAAAAAGGAAACACATCTTCAGATTTTGGAATCTATGAAAATCCAAGATTTGGTAATTTAAGTCCTAAATAATTCTGACATAAATATTGATAAATCTGTTACTGCTCACTCTGGTAGTACTGTAGTCTTTTTCAAGGAACTTCAAGTATCCCCTTGTTAACCTGTGGAGGTTTAGAAATTAAATAAGGTCACAATCTTTATTTGGTATTTGTTTATACGTAATTCATTCGTTTTATGATGCATCTTTTTTTACTATAATAAAGGCTACTATTATTATGTTATATATGTTATATATTTTGTTTGAATTATGGATGAAAAAAAATATTAAACACATGTACAATTAGTACATAAGTATAAGCAATTGCCACCCAATCCTCTCAAACGATTATTCGAAAAATAATTAATTTTTTCTTCTTCATTTTCTTTTTATAATATGTCAATTTTATTTCACCAAACATTTTTCAAATTTACGTTTAAAATTTTGAAACTTGCGGATGTAATGCACACCCGCGCTTCGTGTGAAGGGAAGCCAGGTCAAAACATTGGGCATTTTACGTGTGTAGAGCAGCCCACAGAGACGTCGACCGATCCCAACAA